GCAAACAAGCTTCAGAGTCCCTTTCTTTCCCTAGCAAAATTCTGTTTGGTTTTAGGGGGACATTCATTAAAGCAAACTCCCAGTGTTTTGCTTTGCTCTGAAAAGGCAAACAAATCTATGAATTTTGCTGTGGAAAACAGCACAGAGGGACTTTGAGTGAGAATGAATGTGTTAATGTGCCACAAGAAGCTATCAAGTTTATTCCCCTCTGGCTTTGACCCAGGGAAAGAAATCTGGCTTTTGTCCTGTTCTTTTGTAGGTGTCATGTGGAATTTGAAAGACAGCAGTGCAGGAACTAACACAGAGATCTGAATAACTGCATCTTTTTCTCTCCCTTTCAGCACGAGCATTAGAAGACCACTAAAACCACTATCACTAAACAGCAGCAAATGGACAGTTATTGCTGGTTTCAAAGAGTTCAGGTAGGGGTCTACCAAGGCTCTACAGTGATGACTGATCGTTCCTTTCTTTGGAGTTCACAGTACACACAGAACCAGTCTTTTAGGAGATAGCCGCCCGTCCCTTCACATAAGGGGTCGACACAGGAAAAGTCAAATGATTTGACTGAACCAAGGATGCTGACCCTTACAACTACCAAATCAGAAATTAAGACTCAAGGATAGAAGGGTATTTAAAAATTGTCAATTATTTTTCAGAAATAGGTAATTCCCTAGTTTCTGTTGTGAAAATGTCTGCAATTCCTTATCTCGCTGTTCTATCCTTAGAGCTCCAGTTGGAAACTAAAACAAGGAAATGAAATCAAGGCTAGACACCTAAAGTGGAAACAGACCAGGTCCCAGGTTTGCTCAAGTGAGGTAGCACCCAGATAAGGGATGAGTGTTTAAAATCCAAATCTAGAAGTGACAGTCGCTGATCTGCTTACAGGAGCTTGCAGTCATACAGATCAAGCAGGCAGATGGCAGCCAAGCATCTATCATAAGAGAGGACAGGGACAATACTGATTCAGGGAAGAAACTACCAGTTGATCACTCATGGCACATAATTAATTTACTAATGCTCAAAAATTCCTCCTGCCCAAACATCCTTAAATAACAATCTGAAGAAAATAAAGAATTCCAACCACAGTAGGACTATAGGTCCTCCTTTAATTACAGGTCTCCGCAATATCTCCCATCATTTTTATAAGCATTTGAATGAAAGAAGAGCTTAGGAATTATTGTTTAAAAGCAGTGCAGGGAAAAGGGGGAGGGGAGAAGAAAAGAGCCTTGTAGAAATTTGCCAGCAAATATACAGGAAGATGTACATTCATAAGTTTAAATGAGGACTCCAAAGAACTGAATGCAGCTGTGCATAAAGCAACTGCAAAGCTGAAGAGACACAACTGAATTTCTTCAATGCAAGAATTTCTGATTATTTAATATTCCTTTAAGGAACTTAAAATCTTAATAGGCCCACAAAGGCTTAAAAATGCAGTGGGGAACCACAAATCTTAAATTTTATGACAACCTTGGAGGACAAGCTGTTCTTACATAGCTCTATTAAGTGGTTACAAGAGAGAGATTTTGAGAACTACTTTAAAATGAGATTTTCTCCTCACTTCCTGAAGTGGAACATTCACCATTACCTCTGCAAACATCATCTGGTTTTAAAGCTGAGCAATAATTTCTAGTAGTCTTCTAGGACTACAAAGCAACTGCATATTACTGAAGACTTGGCAGTTAAACACAGAAAGCAAGTTGTAAGGGTTTCTCTGTAGAGCTAAACTTGAATCAAACAACAGTTTCCTTTTTTTCCAAGGGAACCTAAAGTGCATACATTTGTGTTTAATTTTTTTAAGATTTGACTTGCTGGGTTCATGCTTTGCCTGCTTTGGCAACCTGAACAAGTAACTTGGCTGTTATTTGTGCAAAACTTTGTAAGAATTTTAAGTTATTCTTCTCAAATACAGAGATAAATTTAACTGGTGTCCTGGGTTCAGCTGTAACAGTTATTTTTCTCCTTTCCAGCAGCTGGTGCAGTGCTGTGTCTCAGCTTTAGTCTGAGAACAATGCTGACAGCAACAACTAAAACACTAGCATGTTAAGTCATGCTTACCCTTATCAAGGACGTTTCAGTCTCATGGTCTGCCAGTGATGAGGGGCATGGAAATTCAGGAGGAAGCAGAAACAGGACACTTGACCCAAATTAGCCAAAGAGGTAGTCCATACCACAGCGTGTCATGCCCAGTATAGAAACTGGGGGGGAGTCACCCAGAAGGCTGAGATCACTGCTTGGGTCAGAATGGGTATTGGTCGACAGGTGGTGAGCGGTTGTATTCTCTCCCCTTGTTATTTCCCTTATCATTATTAGTAGTAGTATTAATTTTATATTATACTTCAGTTATTGGACTGTTCTTATCTCAACACTTGGGGTTTATGTTCTTTCACTTCCCCTCCCCATCCCACCCACAACAGGGAGCAAAGTGGGGAGTGAGCAAGTGGCTGCATGGTTCTGAGTTTATGGCTGGGCTTAAACCATGACAGATGAACAGAACTGAAGAGATGGAAGAGAAGATATCCAGAGATATCAGAAACATGACAAAATCACTTCAGGTTCCTTTTGAACAATGCAGGTTACAACATCACTTCTGAGTGTTTCTGTGCACAGAAGCGCTCAGGCTGACAACAACAGCTACATCAGATACATCTAAGCTCTGTTCCAAGATCCACAGTGATGAGAAGCACCTTCCCATTACTTCATACTTCTACTGTTTATGCTACAGCAGATTCTGCTTCCTGCTAGTGAAGAAAAAGCCATACCTTCACCTTATATTTCTCTGCAATGTATTTTAGCACACAAAATCACAGAAGCTATCCCAAATGCTATCCATTCACAAAGTAGTGAAGTGGGCAGGGAAGCAATGATAATTATGGTAATCACATTAGATACCATGGGAGAGAATGTTTTAATAACTATTCATAATAGACAACTTATTTTTTTTAAATGGAGACACAAACAGCCCACACATTCATTTAAATTATGCAGTATTCCACTTAATCAGGTAAAAAAAAATGGAGTCAGTAAATGGATATTTCGTTAAACCTGCTTGATAGTTGAAAATCTTTTAATTTGAAACAAAAAAACAGACAAAGAACTTAAGACTTCTAAGAAATGGAAATTCCAGGTATGTCCATGTTTGGAGACACCTTTATAAACCAGGCAGGAGAAACCAAAAGTCTACTGGTCTCCTACAGGTAAGCTAAAAAGTAGAAGACTTATTTTACTATTCAGTTTCACCCCATTTAATCCGCCACAAATACCACCACATCCATAAACGTGAGCAAATAAGCAACAGTGCTTCATTCTTATTTTTGCTTAAAATAAAGAGAGGCTAATAATGCACATATTTATAATTCATTACACTTCCAGCTTGGCCTCTTCCATGTTCCACTTCTAAACCTTCCAAGCAGACCCAGACCATTCCCTCCTCCCACCACTACACTGCAGTTATTTCCTCTTCACTGCTTTCTAGATGGGAAGTGTAATCTGGGAAGAGGAAAAGAAAGAAGACTGCATTCAAAGTCATCCTATTATGGAGAGGGCAGAATCAGAAGCATGGAAAGCCTGTGTGGTTGGAATATACCTAGTATGGACAGAAACATTGTACAAATCAACAAGAAAAAGTTCAGTTTTCCAAACATTTTGCCAGAAGTTTTCAATTTGACCAAATTTAGGTCAAACCCAGCAAAAGGCAACTCCAAACTGCTTTAAAGGCTGTTTAAAATCAGAATAAGGAAAAATATTTTTTTTCTTATAAACCTCTTTTCTAACCTTTCTAAATGTAAATCAAAATCTTACCAAAACAAATTCAACTGGCATTAAAAGGTGACCTTCAGTCTGAATTTTGACAAAACTACAAATAACTGGAAAGACATTTTCATAAGGCTTGGTAACAGGCAGAGGTGCAAGTACCATAGATAAGGGTGCTTCGGTCTCATTAAGGGATAGCTGGCCTTTCATACTGTGTACAGAGACAGAACTTCAAACAAGTAAGATAAGACATCTTCAAATAGACCTCTACCATGAGACTCTGATCCCTCTTACACAGAGACAGAATAATGGTACACAGACATCAAGCACGATGAAAACATTTATCTTAATTTAACCCGAAAGTACATTTCCTGATGTTCACTTTTTCTATGAAACTTTACAATTTTGTTAGTATTAAAGAAATTTATAATAAATAAATTGGTAAAAATAGGATTTCTAAAGTTTCACAATTTTTCAGGTCCTATTTTGTTGGTTGCTTAACGTATCTACAAAGAAAGCAGTTTCTAAAACTTGATGGCAATATAGATTTCCTGTCTGTATCTAAGTGCATGTAATTTTATAAATCAGATATTAAAATGATTGGGAGTATAACTGGTTTCTATCACACTGCTCAGCATCCCAGGCTTCTCACTGTCTCTAAATGCTTTGTCAGTCAGATTTGTTCTTTAAAGGTAGGTCATCTTTCTAAATTTAAGACATAGGAACTACAGGACTAAACATTTATTCAACACAAATACTCCAGAGTTACATAATGGAAGCTACTAAGCACTTGATGTCTTTTAAGTTTTCTAAAGTGTTCATGAATTTTACTTGGGAATGGATTGTTGAGGTGAGCAGTTTACGTTTATATTAATGAAAATTATACAAAAACTATGACATAAGACAGTATATTCTGCTACCTGTAATATGCTAAATAAACACTGCTTGAAATTAGCACATAGTAAGAATTTTTAATCCTACGATAAGCTTCAACATTAACTCTTTTTGGTCTAATCCCCCACAAAACCTGAAATATAAGAGGAAAGGTTGCTGCTGGTGGTCACATTCCATTTTTCCTAAAATGGCTTAGCAGGATTTAAGCAGTATCTTCACATGCATACAACATACTAAAATTAAAATCAGATCTGAACATTTATGCAAAGGCAAACAAAAAAACAGGCCAAAAGAAATATTTTTTAAATACAAAACACACAGGACAAGTAAAAAAGCAAGCTGAAGACAAATTCATATAAAAATCAGTATTTATGTAAAAAAATAATGCACTGCATATTGTAAAATCAGTCAATAACCATATTCACCTTCACACAGATTTCTAGATTTTCAGACTTCAAAAGGTGACATAGCAAGGAAAAGAGACCATAACTGCATGTGAGGCAGACTGCTTCCCAGGATCCATCCCAGAAATTTACACCCTGAGCCAGCAGGGAGATTAGGAGCAGAATCTAAACTCTGCTTACAATGGAGTGTATTTTGTACTGCTAAAGCATTCGTCCAGCTCACATGGATCTGGGAGTCAGAACGAGCCCACCTTTGACATGGAAAGAGCCACAGAAATTCAGCTTCTAAAATGGGATTGGGATGAAGGTGCAAGTCAGTGAGTGGATCCTCCAAGTTCAACACACAGGAACTTTTCTGGAATCCCAAAAACTCACATTATGAAGACTTCATCTCAGACCAGTTATCCAAGTTCAAATATACTTTACAAATCAAATACATTTCAAACTATGCAAGTTTAAATAGTATTTCACTGTAACACTAGAACTCAGCCTTTTTCTTCATGTTTTCCTCTAAAAAAAAAAGAAAGTCTGTACTACATAAACAAAACAATTTTTTTTTTCCACTAAGAGAACTTAAGAAACTAAAGAAAGCCTAATCCTTGCCTGCTGTAAATCACTATCAACCTACTGCCGGTAATGCATTCATGTAGTTGAGGGTTTTCCCCAAAACTATTTCAAAGCCATGTTATTAGAAAATATGGTAACAGGATATATCCTCTAAGAAACGCATCTAATATACAGTCTGAGGCAGCATCAGAACTCTTACTACAGCTCTTCACTTTTCGGTACTAAATACTCCATAATAATCATCAGGTAATAATTCTTAGTAAGGAAATACAAAAGCAACAGCTTTTCACTGGTGTTTTTTTTCCTACTTCCAAAATGCCTTATAAAGCTGCAAAACCATGTAATTTTTTAAAAGTATTATAAGACAAACATCTTCAACCTGATTTTTTTTGCTAAAATAAAACCAAAAAAACAACCACCAATCCTCAATTCTGCTCTATCTTTTGACCATGTTGAAACAAATGCTGTACATTAAAAAGTCTCTGCACCTACAGACAGAGAAAACTAGTATCACATACCGGTATTAATTTTTCAGAACATCGTATTTATAGTGTGCAGTTTACATCTAAGATATGCAAAACAAGATTGTCAAAACAGTACTTCAACGTGTAAGAGATGAACACATAAAGGCACATACAGATTGTCAATTATTGTATCACATTTCTTTGAAAAGAGTGTTTTCTGCACTTGTAAACAATTTTGTTTACATAAAGGCTCACACCTTTAAAGTGAGGTTAGTGCTGCCGCCTCAGTTATTGCTACATTCACAGTTTAACAGAATTTCAGGCAATGAGGTACGCTCCCAAATAGAACCATCTTCATTTCTTCTTTGTTCATTTGATCATTAGATAACTGAATTATACAGACTAAAACTACTGACTGTAGAAGCCAGTAACACCTAAATCACTGTATTAACGATAAACATTAGCAGTGATTAAACTTCAAAAGAGCAAAAAGTCAGCTTTGCAGAAAAAAAGTTCCTGTTCTTCATGACAAGAATATTTTCTTCATTTTTATATACGCTAGTAAACTTTTATCTGGGCACAGTGAGAGCCAATTCAAGCCATATTAGAATTTTTGCACCTTCTGAGAAGTACGTTAATTCAGTCTCTTGATTTAACAGCTTGAAGTAAAATCACCTTCCCTTTGATCTTCTGGCATACAAGTCTCTTACACTTTTTGTCAGCTGCTTTATGAACACTTTGTATACTCTTCCACAGTATGTATGCATGGTTTTCCGTAATTCCAGTTCTAGGGGCTGCAACAGGGAATGAACCAGATCATCTCCAAATGAATACTGCAAGGAAGTTAAGGAAGGAAGATTAAAGGTCAACAGAACACAGAAGAGTATCATTATTCAGAGGGTTTTAAAGAGTTTTATAAAAATGCCTCTGAATGTTACATTTAATAAACCTTTAGAAAGCAAGTACGTTTAAGAACTCATCTTCTTGAATGCAATATTTGAAAAACAACTCTAAATCAAGAAATATTCTCTAATGCTTTTGATAACCTTAACAACTGAGATCTTTAAATACAAGCAAATGAAGATACCCCGACAGAATAGGAGGAAATTTGAAATTATCTTATTAAATTAAAAATTAACAGATCTAAACATGATTTCTAGTAATTTCTTTGTTAAACAGTAACTTTCTTGAATAACAGATAACTTTTAAGGAATACACTTCTTATCAAATTATAATGAAATACCAGTACGAAAAATGGTACTACTGAAGTTTCATTAAACTGAATGATGGTCGAACGCATACTGTGTTTAACATGGGGATGAAATAAAGAAGTCATTAATTCAACAGTGCAATAATTTTTATAAACAAATGACAAGCTAAACCAGCATTTCACAGTAATGTAATTTTGTTCATCTTATTACCACTGAATCAGCAGCGTTTTACATATTTTCTCTGCCATATTCATAAACCAAATGGGATAATAAATAAAAAGAAATATTTTTTCTTCTGTTTTTGACAATGCTCAAAGGAAACAAAGAAATCATATTTTCATGGAAACATATTAACTTTCTGTGCAATGAATTCTCAGACCCTCAAAAGTACTTTTCTTCATTTTTATATCCATATGACAACATGTAATAAAGCACCATTAAAATATACTATTGATTTTTGAAGGTTATACACACACAATAGCCTGCTACATTAATATGTGCATCAGTGCTAAATTTTACAGCTCTTCTGTGAGTACACTGATGCAGTGATAAATAGTTTATTAGATGCCTTATTTGCAGAATGAAAAGAAGTCACTGCGCTTAATATTTAAAGGAACAGCAACATATTAACACACTGAATCTCTAGAAAAGGTCAAAACGGTACCAAGAAAAGATTATTTTCTACAATCCAAATCTAACTTCAATATTGCCATAAACACACACAAACTATGGGAAGAAGGTCAGGGTTTTTTTCCTGCATTTTAAAGTCTCCAGAAGAATGAAGCTTCTAGCAATCTCCAAATGCTCATACAAACAGCTTACCAGATGTATTTATTAAAGGAATGGGAATAAAGCCTTTTAAGTAGACATTGACAGCTACAGGCAATGTTTCAGAATCCTAACCTAGGCATAGTCTACACTATGCTTCAGAACATGACCACCACAAAAAGAATACACTGGAATTCTGTATAAGCAGTAAATGAAAACCCTGTGAAACACTTAACGTCACCTAAAAGAGGAAAAAAAAAAAAAACTTTGTTGCAATCAAGGTATCAACAAAACCTACAAAAATACATGCAGCACTGTAGAGAAAACAGACAAAAAAAGGAAACTTTTCACACGTACAGTGTTGAAAGCACTTACATTTTTTATCGCTTCATAGACAGCCCTAAAAGTTGGCTGTTTTTCATCATGGTAAACACCTCTGTTTCCATGAAGAATAAATATACCCTCTTCTTCGGCTTCCTTACAATTGCTTCCATAGATGCAGTGGTCAGGGCGATAATTCCATTGGCAAGGAAAGACATAAAGACTTTCTGTGCAGAAAAATGAGAACTCTGGATTAAATATCAGAATAATTTCAGGAAATACACTAATCTTCCCTTTTTTTTTTCCTTAGAGCTCCTTCCTAAATTTCTGTAGTTATTTCGAAACCGAACAGTTAATTACACTCTAGCAAGCTCCAGTGCTAAATAAACACTTGAAGAAAACATAAAGCAGCAATAAGTCCTTTTAATACTTTCACAAGAACTCTTTCACAAAGCACTTTCCATGATTTTTTAACATCATAGAAAAGATCAACTTTGTCATGTTTGACTTTGAATAAATGTGGATTTACCTGGATTGTGGAAAAACATAATGTTCAATAGGTCCTGATCACCCCAGGTTATGTTCAACTTGTATTTCTTCAGCAGTGGCATAAGAATTTCTCCCCACTGTAATCGGACTGGTGTCATATCATTCTATTAAACAAAAAGCAAAATGACACACATTCAGGACAATTACTCCTATTAAGATGGAAATGCCCTACAGAATCACAGTAATATGCTTTTCAAAATTACAAATCTCAAATGCATAGATGATTTCTTCCTTTTAAACAAATTTGCACATCTAAGGAAAACAGTTACAGGCATTTCCAATACGCTTTCCCTCTCAATTATTATAAGGAAAATTATATGCATCTCCTACTTCTTATTTAACTGACACATTAATTTTTTGTATCCAAGATTTCCCTCTAACATCTTAAACCAGGAGTGCTAAGAAATAGCAAGGGCTTTTTATACAGCAGCAGGCTCTAACACAAAAACTGTATGTAAGTAATGCACCTAAGTAGACAAGCACATTTCATGCAATTTATCACAGAGTGCTAATATACACAGGTTTTAAAGTTAACTTCGAAAAATCAAAACAGATCAATATAAAATTAATTATTCAATAGTTTCAAATACATACAGCTGAAAAATACTGGCTACAAAGCGGTGTGCAAAAACTAACAGAAATCCTTCAAAGGTTTTCAAGAGAATTTTCATTAAGTTGAACTGATTTTTTTAGTTACTGACCTTGAACTTCAGCAGCAAACGCATAACTTCTCATTAGCGAAAGGCAGTAAGACTCTAAATCAACCACTGTTACTTAATTCACAAATTCTTGATTCAGTAAAATCACTTCAAAGGGAAAGGAGAGAGTTCTTTGAGGTTCCGGCTGAGGAGGTGGTACATGGAAGAAGTGGGCCTACACTGAACTCTGCCTTACCAAAGGTGTTACCCTCTTCAGTGTAACAAGGTTACACATTCTAAAGCTTATTTCTCATCTTTACACATGTAAGCTCAATTAGAACAGAAAATGAACAAGGCTGCTCACACTGTACCTCCTACATCAGTTGGGAGAGTGAGGATGAAGTAACATGAAGTCCCAAAGACAGAATATTCCTGAACAATTACAGGAGCGTACCTTTGATGCTTTCCAACCAAGATGAAATAAATATATATATAAAAAAAAAAAATTAAAATTGGAACCCCAGTATGGTTTAGGATCTGTACACAGAAACACCATGCCAAGAAACAGAAAAGATCACCAGGCACAAAATACTCAGTTTAGAGCTATAGAATCTTAAGAGTTTTTTAGAATTCTCAGAGCTTTCCACTGACTAACTTGAAAGTGAAAAAATTGGCAGTCTGGTTTTGAGTCTTTCCTCAAATCATTTCGGCCATCAAATATAAAGGGCTTTCAGAATTGAAAACTCAAAAAAAAAAAGGAAACACTCTCAGATTTTAGACAGGAATTAGTACAAAAACGATCTATAACTTATTTTATGTAAGAAGCTAAACACAATATTACAGTCCCTTCTGTCCTAAAAAATTTATGACTGTGATTGCTTACAAGTATTAGATGAGAGCAGACATAAGGAATGCACAAAAGAATTCTCCTCTAGCAAGAATTATCGTTAGGCTCAGTGCAATGTGACTAAACAAAAGAAAAACACAGCTTAACACCAAGCTGAAACCTTACAAAAAGCAAATCAATCCCACTGAATCACAGTGGGTAAAGATTACTCTCTCACCTGCACCTTGCCATCCACAGAATTTTAGCCTGAGGCTTAGATTCAACTCTAAGAATTAAAAATAGAACTAAAAATTAGCTCACTGATACTAGGATAATCATAGGAGAATATACAGTGGTAAATAAACATTTTAGAGCAACCCATAAAAATATGACTTCAGATTTTTAAAGTGATTATTTCATATAATTTTCATTTAACTTGTACTGTTTTAATAGCAGTGAAATCCAGAGTATACATACCCCAAGGAGATGCAAAGCAGTTATAGCATTGCCAGATGTCTAGAAGCAATACTACTTGAAAAATAGCGCTATCAGATTTAAGAATTGGAAACTGTGATATTTCAATAAACTTTGAATAAACAGAAAAGTTACGTATTAACTTATTAACACTGATGTGTAATGAAACCAGTGAAGGAATCACATAGCAAGACAAACAGTTTGAATAGTTATACAACCTCCTTCTTCAAAATTCTATTGCAATTTGTAGCAAAGTCAAACAGCGTGTAAGGCAGACTACTCAAGTTCAACCAAAATTGATGACAGAATTGCTTTTCAAAAGTTACTTAAGTAAATATGAGAAAAATAACTCTATGACAGCTTAAGGATTTACAGAATATAAACCTCCTCTCCAACATTCAACAAGTTGCAAAGAATAAAGAAGTTTGAGAAAAAGAGACCTACAGTGGTAGTGGGCATTTCTGCGATGCCAGTAAGCTGGTACAGACAGGCTCTTATTGAACCCTCAAAACTCTGTTTTTTGAACGGAAGAAAATGTGCAACAGAAAAATATAGATAAGGACATTAAGATATTTTCCTACCTGAGTTTTTCTGAGCAGGATTAGATACTGTGCTGTAATTAGTTTGGCCATTTTGACTGTCCCAAGAAGACTTCTGCCTGGCCAAGTCTAAAGTCAGACTTAAAAATCTATTACATATAGATTGTAGCAACCTAGTATTACCTTTCTCTTGGTAATAGCCATTGGATTTATATGGATAAGAAGACTCTTCTTCTTGCATTAACAGTGTAGTGCTAATACTGACTAGATGTTTTTTGTGAGATAGTTTACTTCACTAACCCAGCAGAAAGATTTCTTTTTCCTATTACTTCCAAATTTAATTGAATCATAGAAGGGACCAACAAACACCAGAGGCTAGGACAAAGTAAATAAGAAAGCAGAAAAAGCAGATGGTAAGAGATAGGAGCCTTCCTTTTAGAAGGAGTTAGCTCTTGCACAGGCTCACCGTATTTCCTGGATCTATAGTCTTAAGCAATACTGAATGGTTTAAAAAAAAAAAACAAAAAAGAAGTGTATAATGGCTTAGGTCACAATAACTCTCTGAACTTTACGTTTTGGGTGCTTTTTTGTCTGAAGTATACCCATGAATCTCTCCTTTTCATACACTATCTGGAGTTATTTTGTGTGCAGCTTGTTTGATTTTCTAAGAGCTCTTTCCTTATTATGACTGCTCACATCTTAGGCACCACAACTAAGTTTCTTAATACATTTGCTAAAAGTCATTGTTCTCTTAAAACATCATATCTCTGATATTTGCTACATCTGTTCCAGTCTACATGTACACCTTATCACCTTTTCCATCTCCTAAATACTCCTGCATGCTTTACATTCCCATTTTAACTGCTGCTTAGCAAAGACAACAGACAGGCACTAACCGTCAGAAACTCATTACTGATTTTAGTCTTATGTCCAGTTTGCACTTTTTAATGACATTACATTAAAAAACGTGTGTGCATGTGTATGTATCTGTACCTACATATACACATGTGCTTATATTATATACAAAGTGCATATATTCATAATGTATATATACAGACAGTCTCAAAATACACAAGACAAATAAGATAGATAGAACCAGGAGTGACAACTTCCATTAGGCACCACAGATAGCAAAGTAGCTAGGATGCTCGTCTAAAATGAATAGACCTGACAGCCCGGAGAAGATTGAGGCTTGAATAAATAAGCGGATAAAAGAAGACTTAATCCTGAAACAATACATGGAACTACAGGTTTTCTGCAACTCACGTGAGCACTATAAATACTGGTTAAATCTCCAGTTCTTTTTATTTATTCATCTTCTGGTTCCTCCTGACTTTTACAAATCAATGTGACAACAAAAGAAAGATGCTTAAAGGCATTAAACAGCTCCAGCCTGTCGTTTCTTCAGCCCAAAATTACAATAGACAAAGAACCTACAGCTTTAAATACATCACATTGAAGGAATATCCTGATTCAAAGCTTCCACTATTTAGACAAGTGCTCTAGCTACCCAACAATCACACAAAAAGGTCTATAGGCAGCTCTTTAAAGATACAAAATTTCCTAGAACTTACATACTCTGAGGAAATTGTTGAGTCTCTTGAATGAATATATACAAATTTGACCTTCCTGTAAGTAAATGAAGCATTTTCTAGTTCTACTGTATTTGACTGGAATAGTTAATGGGACACAACATGGGAAGCTTGTGCATCTTAGGGCCTTGTGATGCTATACAAGCTTGTGGGACCACACTCTAGGTACTAGGGGAGCAAAAAATTAAATGGTTCCCCTGCTGAGTGCTCTCCAAGCCAACTTCTCAATAATCAATATTATATAACAGAAACTAATTTCCTGCTTAGTTATTACCTGGGCTACACTATCTAGATATGAGAGAACGATAAATCAGGCACTATCATTCCTAAGTTTTACATAACCTAGTAGCTCCCTAATTAGACACAAACTGTTCTGACTGGGCTAAGCATGCTACTACAAGCCTGATATTACAGGACACTTCCCCAGTGTGTCCAACAGGTGGAAGGACTAAGTCAACAGCATGAACACAGTTCATGAGGTAGTCTCCCACATAAAATAATTCTGAGCCTTCTAGTACCAAAAAGTGTCCACTGATAATATGTTGGTCACTGTCAATAAGGCCTAACAAGAGTCTAAGCAAGCCAGTCACACTGGAGTTAAGTATCTCCGCAAATTCAGAGCCTGAACAAACAACAAACATAATACTTGCCAGAAACATACAAAACAGAGGCAAAACACCTGGATGCTTAGCTCGATGCTCAGCATTTGTATGCAAGGGCCTGAAAGATACAGGGGTAAGGTTTTAAATCTAGAAGGGTATCCATTTCAAAACAGCTCAGCTGAACCAGGAAATCCATATATGTCAAAACACCATGCATCTGAACATTACATCTGTGTTTCATGCTCAACATAATCAGACTAAGACTCCAGGGAAGATGTACAGGATCATGAAAGCAGGGGTAAAAAAGGTATAGGATTAGAAGGAGGAAGATAAAATTAATGCATGAAACAAGTTCTTAGCAACCATGTTAAAAGCTGTACACAATCAAAAATTTAAAATGTAGCATAAAACCACTCAAGTATACAGAACAAACCATCTTCTTATTTAGGTCTGAAGTGACAGCAAAGCCCTGGGAAGGATTCCAAAGAATGAGGACTAACAATTAAGGGCAGAAAATGCTGTATTTCTAACACTTAAAACAACCGAAGTGAAGCAGAGGAATGGCTTAATTGCCATATACATATATATATATATATATATAAAATCTTTTGTTAACTAAAGCCATCAGAAAGGGCTTTGAATCATGTGCCTTGCTATTGGGAAGCTTTACTCTGTTTCTGCTTGCACAGCGCTGGGTTGCTCACTCCAATCTCAGTTCCTTCCCCTTAATTGTGTGAATGCTAAGCCTGCAACTCATCAAGCAGGCTTGCTTAGCACACTATATTCTGAACAATTTGAGAAAGAGCATCAAGATTAATGTTTTCAGGACAATTCAAGACTTCTTTTTGTTCTGATTCCTCCCTACAGGAAGTCCAGTGGCCCATTTAGTCAGAAACTGTACATCATGTTATGCTGAAGTTTGTCAGTAGAATCCTGAGAAAAGCATAGGGATTTGTGCCTTGCCTTACAGTTGAGGAAAATGCTCCAGCCCTCTAATATCAAGTAAAAAAAAAAATCCATTTTGAATTTCTAAATATTCATTAATTATTTCACCTACTTAAATCTATATATATCAGCCTAAATTCTAAGAAACCACCATTTACAGGTGTTAAGGAGAAGTGACTTTATATTTTCCTCTAGAAAACTGCAGTTAATTTGGAAGACAATTTTAGTCTCCTACATTATCTATCTACTGTAAAAAATTTTAACTCCAATTTTGGTAAAATTGCATAAAGTTTCCAATAAGTTGATAATTTCAGTTACACTGAGAAGCCCAAGCAGAATTCTGACACAGTTTTTATAAAACACCTACCTTATCTCAGAGTTTACTACACTAAAAAAATTATCACACAGAAATGCATTGTCAGAGGTTAAGACAACACAGTTTTCAGTCCCACATTTTTCTCATCATGCTTTTCAATATTTTTATTTCTCCGAATACTATAAGCGGGAAACAAATAACAAAGTAGACAAGATTCCACTGATATACACAGAGAAACTTTCTTCTTGGGAAACTACAGCTACATAGTGTAACTACCAGAACTTCCTACTTTAACTACAACTGAGATAATCCATTCTCCATTTACCTTAAATTCTCTATATTTCCATAACAAAAATATATAGCAACAACATTAAGATAAAAGCTAAATGTTTCTTGAGCTGGAAATCAGGGAGAAGCAATGTCTACCGCAAGTCTATCAACCCTGGCAGCGTTCAAGGCCAGGCTGCACAGGGCCTTGGGCAACATGGTCTAGTGGAAGGCGTCCTCGCCTGTGGCAGGGGGGTTGAAACTAGATGATCTTAAAGGGTCCTTTCCAACCCTAACCATTCTATGATTCTAAGTTTATATTGCCCCTCTTAAGGGTGTACCTTCCTATAGCTTTAGACTGCATCATTACTTTTCCCTAATCAAACTTCTTCAACAGAAAAGTACTTTTTTTCCCCCAGCATAATCACACAGCACTGCTTTGTTACTTGTGTTTCAAGTACCGAAGAAAAAGCTTCTGATCTGTAAAAGAATGACCATCTCTGCTGCTGCGTGAACTGCTTTAGTATGTTTATGATGAACTTACCTACAAAAATTGTGACTTCAAATAAAATCAGAAGATTCTTAAGGTGATAATCTCCTAGGTTACAATGTAAAAGATGAAAATTTGGAAACCGCAGTTAAAATGGCTTATTAAATGTTCTAGCACCACCTCCTGGTCACACTTTTACACTCAATTTCAAAGCTCGTTTACAGTGTATGTTAACTGTTTTCTGGGATCTCTACACTGAAGAAAAAATACCAGAGTAACTACTGACAAATGTTATTTACAGCAGACTGTCTAAAAGTCATAGGATCTCTCAGAACTAAGAAAAATTAAAATAATCAAACACACTTGAAAAACAGGAATTCCAAGGCTTACAGTGAATGACATTTAAAAAACACAAGTTAGATACCAGTTTAAACACAGTGTATTTTTAAAACATTATTTCAGTTACAAGAAAAATAGTTTGGAAAATGCTGTCTCACATGAATTTGAAACAGAATCAGAATTAAAAGATGCAAAACCATGGAAAATGCAATAAAGGCAATACGCATACCTTGAAATACTTCCTTCTGATCCGCGTCATATTCATTAACATGACTCCAGAATTTATTCCAGTTACTCCATAGTAGGGATGTCTAGCAAAGCGATTATACCACCCAATACGAGGCTCTTCATGTTCCGGTGCCATTGCAGCAATTTGTGTGGAGTTGAACTTTCCCAGAAAAGACCAAATATCATCAACAGGTCTCAAAAACAGGATGTCAGTATCAACATACAGTAGTGAATCCACATGCTTGAGGATTAACTGTGAGGGAAAGAAATTGAAAACCAAACTTAAGTTTTATTGAGTTTATCTTCATAAAGCAGAAGTTGCTGCCATTACACAATGAAGCTTGATACATTTGTCATATGCAAATAAACTCACTTTAGACTGACGGTTTGCAGTTAGTAAGTCTGTCATCATTCCCTCTTTTATCATTTTGGAATATTTTTGTAGACTGAAACCAAGGTTTCATATAGAATAGTAAAGCAAAAGCACTCAGTCTGTATTTTGTATCCTGGGGCTCCACAGAGTAAGCGACAGGCCTGGTGAAAAATTACCATAGCAGGATCTCCTACCTTCCTCCTGTTCACCCGCTTTCTAATAAACAAAGGAGAGGCTTAAGGAAGCCCCAGATGAGACAATATGTGGGAGACAGTTGACATTGTTATAGTTCAGCCAGCCTTAGGTTTCTGAAGTATCCTAGATGAGCAAAGAAAAGGCTGCACAAAACACCATCAACAATAGCCCATTTCTTGTTTCATTCTAACACTTTTCAGACCCAGGCATGCAGGCGATTAGGTGGGATAAATCCTTACCTCTGAGAGGATGACATGACCTGCACTTCTCACTGAGGATACTGTGCCATAATGTAGTAAATGAGAAAAGGACTTTCATTCTATAATGTATTAGTGCCACGGAAGAAGGGTTAAATTCAGAGGGTTTTTTCAGGATGTTATAGAAGTAACTTTTATGAGGAGTAGTAGTCCTTGATTTAAAAGTAAGCAGAAACCAGATTAACAAGACAGATGCCTCATAAAGAGACTTCTGTATTGTCCTATTACAGAATAACTTACTGGCAAGAACAGCCTCTGTGAAGCACACGGCTTAAATAATTTCTTCCATTCTGTTGCACTCTCAGTTGGAAATGTTATTGGATATAATGTGTAATTAACTTTTCCTTCATAGGGGAAGTCATCAAGCTACGTGAAAAGAAAACAATATAAAAATTACTTCAGTTCAATTACATTACAAAAAAGAAATCAATCCCCCTTTCAAACTGATAATTGAACACAACTGCAAGACCACTCTTCAATAACAGAAATGCTTCCTGAACTACAAGAATCTGTCAACTATTCAAAATACCTGAACAGGAAGTGGCACCTGCAGGCCACTATGAAGAAACCATAGATCATATACAGAAGTAAGAGCAAGTAAAATAAATTAGTGTTTACAAAAAGTAGATACATCAAAATAAAGCTTTTTGCCCTCTTACCTAGTTTTTATTGGAGAAATATCAATGAAGTCTCTCAATTTAAAATAACCTTACCCAACTTTCACCAGTTACTGTTCGCATGACATTACTGTGTATATATTAGTATGTATTATATGTTAATGTAACAGTATGACATTTTAAGCACAAAAATAGTAAACTCCTCCACAGCAATACATTAGTCAGCTTGTAATACTGCTTCTCCAGTCATAACGTTATACCCATTAAATGGAATTTACTAAAATTAGACATAACTGTATCTACCACTTTCAAAGACCGATGTTTCACTTTGCTTAGGCAATGTAAGGCTGACTCATACAGTAAGCACAGGGACAAAAAAAAAGGCAGATCACCATTTTCTCTTGTAAAGCCAACTTTAAAGAAGCTCACACAAGATAATTGGTTTGTGTTTAGAACACTGGGTTTGTATTCAATGGATACAAGTATTTAACAGATTCAAGGTAACAAATGAGGAACTTTTTATCTGTCTCTACAAGAAGTTTTGATATCACCAACTGGCATTTTTATGCAGGAAATGAAGATTCAAAAATCCCCATCCGACATTACGAAAGACTTGCATATTACCTCATTTATAGACCTGTGCATTTCTGTGACTATATCCAATAACTACTGCCCAAGAAGCAGAGAAATTGTTATATATTACTCAAATTGTACTACAAATTGATTAAATAAATTATTTGGGTACTTACTATGTCTTTGAATCTCTCATGCAGCTGGTCCTCAGCAAAAATATGAAACTGGAGAGGCTTGATGCTGAAAATAATGGCTGATCTCAACATAGTAACAGTCTCTTCCAGCCTTTCACCACAGGCAACCACTGCTAGATGCATTTTCTCAGAAGGATGTGTCTTCATATAATCATATCTGATACAAAGATATTTTTTTCATTTGGCATGATTTCTAGCACAGACTTAAGGAAAAGCTCTACCGTTTACTGCAGCATGTAATTTAACAAAATACCCTTTATCATATTTAAACCAGCAAAGGACAATTCAAACAGGACATACAAACCACAGCATTACACCTCATATATGGGCTTACGTTTAAACTGAACTATTCTCATATTCACTTCCATCATGCCAGCCTATGAGGGAAAAACAAGGTATGGAAGAGCTGTACAGAAACTAAACAAACATTTATTTTCTTAGTAATTTTGCCATCCAACATTAGCAAGGAATTCCATCTAAACAGTTAAACAGTTAAAAGAAAGATCACATGAAGTTACATCAAAATGTGAAAGACATTCAGTCTATGAATGAGCTCATGTTCTCCTCTTTCCCTGGACTCAATACAGAGATAAGTAAACACAACAGATATAGCAGAATTAAACTCAACAACAAAAGTGAAAAAAGCCTTTTAAGGAGTTCTGTTAAGAACATTTTTGAATGATATAGGTGCTTTGTCTGTTTTCTGCCCTTTTGTCAAACCCATGCTTCAGCGCTTCTCCTAAGCACTGGCAAAACGTAAAAAGCTTTCTCCTCTCCTTCCATCCTGCAGGAGTACAACCTGGATTAGAAAGCTGGGAAACTAACAGCTCAAATGGCCTCGTGGGATGTCCTGGTGCTCCCAGTGGTTCTTGGAAATACCCTTAGGTACCCTGACCACACACATTGCCCGTGTCCCTGGGGCTAAACCACTGCAAGGTGTGGGGATTGGGAACTTCTCTATTCCTGAAGACAGCTGCTGTCCAACAGTTACAGGAAGAAGTGCCTGGTATGTAGCATACAGGATACATTCAAAAGTTATTATTTTAATACAACAGGCAAAAATTGTTATTGGGTAAATACCATCAGCCTGGTGGCAAACGCAGTGGACATACTAAACCTAAACCCATGTACTCCTGGATTTCATATATTTAATTGGCCAGAAAAACATTCAAAGGTTTTAAACATATGTCAGCTCAAAGCTAATCTTCAAAACAATGTCCTGTGCTCGAGCTAATTGCATGGACTATGGGAGGACGGGGTCTAAGAGAACTCAAGAGTATCTAAAGGTTTAAATTACAAGATTAAATCCAAGGTATTCAGACAAAAAAAAAGAAAAAATAAAATGAAGTTAGAAAATACTTCACCAACCTACTAACAGTAGAGACATTCTTGGCAAACATAGCAACTATTCTTAGAAGCTCGCCAAAGAGAGAGACACTTCAAATAGAAATTAACAGATGTGATTCTTAGCAAGTAATCTCCGCCCAATTTTTATGTAACTAAAACATTTAGATGTGTACAAGTCTTCCTTTAAGTTGATAAAAAGAGGTTATGCAAATATGCCTTTTTTTCTTTAAGGCATGGAATAGCAACACACATTTAGTTCCATGAGGCAAAATATAAGCAAAGTTATCACTGTAAAACTGCTTAAGTTTAATGCCATAAACAATAGCTGAATTTAAAAAATATTGAGTTTTGGAAGAGTTTAATGCCCTGGAACTAAAAAACTCCAGCATCCCAGGGATTTAAGATTAATAAAGCTTTAATCAGAATGTGCAGTCAGTCTTGAGTCAAGGTTTGGGGCTTTATTAAAAATCACATGGGTAAAAGACCTCACAGGTAAGGTTCAGATCCAAAACAGGACACCTAAATGAAGATGCTGACATACAAGACTGTATCCAAAGTCTCAATAAAGCCAATTCTGTACCATCATTTAATAAGCTCTAGAATGTCTCACCTGACCTCTGGGTGCCAGTCCAAAAGGACTGGGTGTCTCAAAGTTCATGTATCTACTAGTCCTAAGGAGATGTGTAGGACAGACAGTGCTTCTCAATTAACACCAGCCATTTATTTCTCAGAAACTTAATAGCTAGTCACCTGGATCACTCTCTCTACGCTCTTTCAATTTCAGTGAATGCTTAAGACCTGCTTGACATAGACACCTATACACAGACTTCTGTATTCGGATGATTTAATCCACAGACTGAAACCTTCCCTAAGTCTTGCAGAAAAAAAAAAAAAAAAAAAAATGGAAAGGAAGAATTAGTTCAGGTTAACAGAAAAAAAAAAAAGTAAAATAGAATCTTGAAATGTAACTAGGCATGCCCATTCAGACCTTTATTCATAAAGCTAATTTAAGCATCGCACCATGTAGTAAGTAGCTAAGGTAAAAAACACAAAGCAAGCTGACTGTGATGAGGGTAGCCGAAACCCAGTAAGCAGTACACTGCTGCAGTCTGAACAAGCTGCAAACAGCAGATTAGCCTCATCACTAATCCACTGAAAAAGGAATTACAATAACTAAGCCCTGCAGTCACGAGAGCTTACAGGGATAGTGCAAGGTCATGTGATAAATAAGGACACAACCTACACAAACTGCACAGCTGAAAGCCAAGTTCCTGAACCACATGTAACACATGGCTTTCCATGAATAAAGTATGATGAAAAGTATGCCAAAGCAGCTCTACAACACACTGAGATTGAAAGACTATTATTTATTTCTACAGAGTGACATCTGTGAGTGAAAGAACACTTCAAGCTACACAACAAAAAATAGACTGATCATATTATAATGCTTTTACAGCCATTTTGTTCACACAATCTGTTCTATGAGTTTCTGACTTCATTACTTCAATTTTTTAAATCTGTGCTTAAAAATATGTTTTTTGAAAAGGCAAAAAAAGTATTTACAAAAAGCTAGTAACAATGGAACTTCAGCTTGCACAACATGGGGAACAGCTGGACTCAAATCCGTAAGTACACAACACAAAGCTTTATCCCTGAAGCAGATGGAGCCATTGGAAAGAACAGGCTATCATTCCCTCTAGGGACTATTCACTAAGAAGGGCATAAGAGGTCCCAGAGACATATTATGGCAGGAGAAGTTATGAAGTTCCAGAATGGGCTCAAACTTAAACCGGGGAAGTTCAGGTTAGATAGAAAGAAGAAGTTCTTTACCGTGAGGGTGGTGAGGCACTGGAATGGGTTGCCCAAGGAAGCTGTGAATGCCCCATCCCTGGTGCTGTTCAAGGCCAAGTTGGACAGAGCCTTAGGCAACATGGTCTAGTGTGAGGCATCCCTGCCCACGGCAGGGGGGTTGGAACTAGATGTTCTTAAGGTCCTTTCCAACCCAAACCATTCTATGATTCTATGAATTGTAGTTCTTACACAAGACTCCATGAAGAGACAACCATTAGTGATTATAAACTGCATTTGACTTCCCTGCATACATACCACTGGCAATCACAGCCTCCTTCTTAATAATTAGGTTTCAGAGCTGCTCCTCACCCTATATATACATCTCTCTCCACTCTCAGAGGGAAATCATTGGCCCATCTTCATCCAGGGACACTAACTACTCACCTCTTCTGATAATCCTCAGCATCTTTCATCACTTTTTCCTCTTCCTGCTACTAGAAGCAGCATAAAGTCTAAGTTGTCCAGCAGAGTTTACCATCTTGAGCTCTGCAGTCTCACCTTCAATATTAAATATGCCACATCCACTTGTCTCACTCCCTTCCTCCATATTATGCTTACATGACTTTGGTCCTTCCCCTAATTGCTTTCAGATTTATCCTCTCTTAGCTATATCCTTCTCTCCTTTCTCCTTCCTGAATTTTCCAGCCTCTCTCTTTTTCTGATCTTCCCTCCACCAGTCTCTGTTGTAGTTAGTCATGCAACTACCTCAACAGAAGTCTCAACAGAAGACAATGAAAGGAAAACCTTGTTCATTTACACAGCCCTGGATCTGGTATAACTAAGATTTTTTACACAAGATTTTCCATCAATACATTTCTTTCTTTATCTTTATTTTAGCAGTTCAGTAGCTGAGTTGACCACAAGCAAAATAAAAACTATTTTACCAGAACTCTGGTTTATCTGACCCTGAGCAAGTTTGGTGTCATGAATATCACAGCTCCGGTATGAGAACAATACCATTACTGAACCTCAAAAATCAAGGTTCTGAAAGCATCAAGACACTTCCCTAAAAATCTTCAGAGGCAACACGGGAAACACAAAAATACAAACGAAGATTTCTTTATACATATTTCTAAATACTAGTAGCCTGATGTTTTGGTGTGGCAGTACTTAGTGAAGAAGCTGGGAAAAGCAACAACAGAGTGAAACAGAAACTGTGTTTTAGTAAGGCTTTTGAACAGACTAACAAGGAAAACTTGACAGCCCTGGTTTCTAAAGAGAAAAAAAAAAAAAAAATCTCCAGTAAAGTGGGAATCCTCGCTGCTGCAGGGGGAAAACAAACCAACCAACCACAAAAAAACCTACACCAAATTCCACTAATTAAAATGGAAAAGCAAAGAATGCACCTGTAATCCAATAGAAGTTACTGAGCAGGAAGCCATGACAGCATTTGAGCATTTAGGGACAAATAAGGGAATTCGATTTGCCTGAGGATACTGATTACACCAGTGGCAGGGACAGCAGAAATAAACAAAATAAAACACTTGAGAGAGCACACGACACATACTCCCATGAGTTTAGAAAACACATTTCAGATACTCACTTTGACACTGTGGGAGCAAAAACACTTTAAAACAGGCTGCTCAGCAGCAGCATAAGGCCAGGTACAAGCCTTGGCCTGAAGTACTTTGTGCTGAAGTGCTCACCTTCATCCTGCAATGACTAATTCTGCTGTAGCTTTAATAACCTCTGACAGAGGAGCATAGCCAGATATACTCAATGAAGCTGTTACAACAAGACTTTAAAGAACCTGTCTGTCAAAACACCGCCTTATGCACACCATGACACACTGTATATTAAGCTAGCATTTCTAGGTCAATTAAAATTATGAAGTAATAATTTGGTAGTAAGCTTGAGAGGTGTATTTTGACAGGTTGCTCTCTTCTAGAACTTTCACCGCATCCCAGCTGAACTTCCTGGGAGGGGAGAGAGAACCCGAACGGTACTGATGCTAAAATA